GTCYGAAAATAAAAAAGGATGGGGCTGTGGCTCAGGGTGAAGACACTTGGGTTGAACCACTCGTACCAAAAGGAAAAATAAAATGCTAGTTCCTATTTCTTTCACCTTTAAGTGGTGCACAATCAATTCTGTCTACTTCCTGTCTCAATAGCCTCTAATTGAGAGAAGGAAGAACCCCAAATTAGATGGAGTCACCTCTGCGGGTAGAGTTGGCTCCTCTCTAACAGACCTGAAGTCTGGGTACACGGGGAGCAGCCCATTCCCTCTTCTCACCCTCTGCTGCTTTCCTCGGGGGGCTGCTGGATCCCCCAGCCTCTCCCCTCTCTTCCTGCCTTCCTTAGAGTGAGGCCAGGCCTGGGCTTTAATCACCTCCCACTCTCCTCTAGGCTCTCAGCCCAGCTGTGTGCAGAACGGCAGGGGAAAAGGGGCCCCTGGCCTCCCGCCCCACCCCAGCCCCCAGCTTCTTCCCACTCTCCCCTCTCCCTGCCCCACCCTGATTACCAGGATAGCCCCGGCTCTGCTGATTCCAGGCCTGCTTCTCCCAAACCCGTTCCCAGCTGCCTCATCTGTAATTACCCAGCTTGCCAGGGGCACCGAGGAGCGCGGAACACCTCATTTCCAAAGGGCCCCCACCGCAGAGGCCTCCTTCTCCTCTGCTCTAAGCAGGGTGGAGGAAACAGAGGCCGAGATGCTCCCTGGCCCACTGCAGTTCTACCCAGGTCACAGCAGAGGTGGTGACAGGGGGCTGCCCAAGCAGGATCAAGAAGGGATGGGCTCCGGGGCACAGCGTGGGAGTGGGATTGGCTCCCAGGCTCTTCCTTCACCACTGCTGCCCAGACAGACCGTGCACAGGACTGCCCACCTGCAGAGGGTCAGAGGAGACCTTGCACCTCAATTCAGAAGGAGAAGTGATCCAGGAAAACAAAGAGGAAGGTAGAGGCCCACAGGAGGGAGCTCAGGGAAGAGGAAAGGGCAAGGCAAAAAAGATTCGGAGCAGCAGCACGCCTGTAACCTAGCGGCTCTGCTCAGGAGGCTGGGCCAGGAGGCTGAGGCAGGAAGATGGCAAGTTCAAGGCCCAGGAAGACTCTCTATCAAAATTTTAAAAGTTTTTATAAAGGACTGAGAAGAGGAAGAATATCACAGCCTCTCTGCTCCTCTAAATCCTTCCCTCAAAATAAACCAAATAAATAAAACCTCCCAGTCTACCAACCCTAAAGGACACAAAGAAGGAAAGGGGTCATTAACTTTGTTTGACAGCTAGGAAAACTGCAGCCAAATCCCCATTTCATACTTCAGGATCCAGCAACACCAAACACCCCATTTTCCTTCTTGCTCATGCTTAGCCTCTACCATCAGTGTGCCTGTCTCTGCTCCCTCTATGGCTGCCTGACTGTCATAAATAAGCCTGGAATCAGAAGAGCCGGGGCTTACAATCCGGCTGAAGTATATTCATACGATGAAATATTACTCAGCCATGAAAACGGGGTGAAGTACTGATTCATGCTACATGTTACAATGTGGAGGAACCTTGAAAAGACTTTGCTAAGCAAAGGAAGCCAGACACAAAAGGTCACATATTTTATGACTCCATTTATGTGAAATATTTGGAACAGGTAACTCCACAGAGATTGTAACTCTTGCAGATTGGTGGTTATCAGAGACTTGGGCACAGGGAACAGGGAGCAATAACTTAATAGAGATAAGATTCCTTTGGGGATGATAAAATGTGGAGACTAGATGGAGGGGATGGTGCACAACACTGAATGTCCTAAATGCCATTGAATTATTCTCTTTAGAATGGTTGATTTTATATGAATTTTGCCTGATTTTAAAAAAAAAAAATCCAGCTAAGGGCATACATAGCTCCCTGACAAACCATCCTAGGACCAAGCACTCTCTCCCTTACCGTAGCCAGAGTCCACGCCATCCCACCTAACATTGACTGAGTGCTTCGTCTGTGCCYAGTATTGTGCAAAGGACATTTCATTTTGTGATCCTAAGACGTGGGGCCTCCTGTGAACTCCATTTCACAGGCGAGGCTTCAAAAAGTTACCCATTTCGTCTGAAGTCACAGAATCAAGAAGCAGCAGGGTTAAAGGCAAACCCAGAAAAGAGGCCACAAGGGAACCTGGGATTCCTGGGGACTGGCCAGTCTGGGCTTGGAGGWCGGTGCTTTAAGATACCTCAGAGGCTGAGGAATGGGGTTTAATAACTTGCCCAAGGTCACAGTGCTGTTAAGGACGAATTCCAACCAACTCTGTCCGACTCCTCCCTTTGGCCTCACGGTGTGGGGAGATCCAAGGGAAGAACACACCAAGGAAAAGACTGGAGTCCCTAAAACTCAGAGGGGATAGGAGAGCTTCCTATCGCTCCCCTCGGACGAGCAAAAAGAAGTCTGTCCTACTCTAAGGCCAAGGAAAAGGGACCCCTTCCTCACACCTAGAAGACTCGATGAGCAGTAGGAGGCACACCAGAGACTCGCCCAGGAAGGATCAGAGGAAATATCAGACAGGAGCCAGACAATGGTAAGGAGGGGCCAATGTGGCCACTGGCTCCCAATCTGGAAGTACTTTCTAAAACGGCACTTCCTATTGTCTAACCATAACTCCTCCTTCTTGGAAGACAATCCCCACTGGTACATCTACCATACATGGGGTGATGGTATAAAGAGCAAATATGTATAGTACCACCAGAAAGCCAGGGGACGTCATCTTAAGGGCAAGTGCCTTGCTAGGCCCGAGAACCCTGACCATCAGATAGGTGTGCGGTTTGAAGGAATCATTCATTTAAAAAAAAAAAAAAATCTGTTCTTTTCCTCCTCCTATACCTAGTCCTAACGTTTTCTATTCCCCACTACTCTTATCCCCAGGTAGAGGTAGGAAGCCCCAAAGGAACATTCCATTGCACATGTTCATAGAGGAGACTTTGACATTCCAATTGCCCAGAGACCATGATGGGCATGTGCCATCACATTCTCAGTTCTTAAAAACTGGGTGTCTCAAAATAACCCCTGGCAGCAAGAGCCAAATGGCTGAGGGGATGTCATGGAGAAATTAAGGCATACCATGAGGGAGCATCACCTAAAAGAGATGTCCTGCCCTTCCTCCCCTTCACCCCCAGATGAGATAAGACAAGAGAAAAAAAGGGAAAAGAGTATCTGCTGCTTTTCCGGGGAGAGGACACCCACTTCCAGATCACGGCTGACACCCCACCCTACCATCATGGAAGGAATACAGACCCCTTTCCCACCACACCAACACCAGCCCTGTTTCCAGCTCAGGTCTGACACCATCCCAGTCATGCTTCTCAACAGGGAAAAGGGAAACTGCATGATAAACACACACACACACACACACACACACACACACACACACACACTCTTGAAGAAATACCTCCTCCCAAACCCCACAGAGGCAGGAACCCAAATGATCCCCTCCTGGTCTCAAGGCTCCAAGTATGCTTCTTCCACATCAAAATCCAGACTCCTCAGGAACTTTAGGATCCTAAAGACAGGACAGAGTTGGAGCACAATCTCCAGGACGGCTTTCAGGAGGACTGTGGCCTGAGGAGGCTGCATAGAGAAGTCAAGTGTGCAGTCTTTCCAAGCAGAGAACCCAACCTATGACTAGAGGGGACGGAATTCCTCTTACTTTTTTTTTTTCCTGACTCCTCCAAATCTCCAAATTCCTCTAGGACTCCTACCAGAACCCCCAGCTCCCTGTTCCTCACAAGACACACCTTTTTCCAGAAAAACCACCTCCCCAAACCGACACTACATGAGACCCTATCAGATACTCAGGCAGTACCCTTGAACATAGGTAGGGCTATGCAAGAAGCCTCAGGATCCTGCAGAGAGCCTTCCTGCCGGCTTTCTGCCAGGAAAACCTGCCTGCAGAGACAAGAGGTACCCCCAAAACACATTTAGAAAAAGCAGCACACATGGATACCCATCAACACAGGTCACACACAAGAGAACACAGATTCGTTCACTCACGCCCCTTCCTGGTACACAGGTGCACACGTATCTACCCATATATATATTCCATTCGGCTATCACACGCCCACCTTCCTTAGCATCTCTTTTCTGTCAGCCCTTCTCCCAGCGCAATCCAGACAGATACATACATACATACACACACGCACATACACACACCCCTTCCCCTGTGTACATACATAAATACACACCCAACCGTACAGCAAGCAGATGCATGGTCAACCGCTCCCTGGGTGCACACACACACTCAAGCACAGAAAAACACCTACACATCCAAACCCAGGGGCCCACCTGCAGGAACACGCAGCACGTCAAAGCGTGCACACAMAAAAAAACAAAGAATCATGCACACTGATCCTCCACCAACCGTTTAAAAGTCACTAAAGCAGGGCCCCTCAAGGGGTAAACAGGAATGGGGTCCCTCCGGCCCCCAAGAACCGTGCCCAGGTTTCCAGCTGCCAGCCCCCTCCTCGGGCTGCACACACACCTCCTCTGGGGTCTCGGGCCAGTTCCCCAGACTCCACTCTGCATCTGAACGCATACCTGCCCCCCGCCGCTCCCCACACTCCTGAGGTGTGCATGCACCCCTCAACACCCTCGCTTCCAATGCCTCCGATCCTCCCACCGCCTCTCCCCCCACCGCCTCTCCCCCCACCTCCAACACACGCTCCCAGTCTCCAGCTTCAACCGGCTCCCCTGGGATCATTAAGGCCCCCGCCTGGGCCCCGGGCCCAGGAAAGTCCCCAGCTCTCCAGGCCTGGGCTCCGCCCCCTCCCCAAAGTTGGGGGGTACTCCGCCGTGCGGTGGGAGAGTGGACCGGAAGGGGGCTGYCCCGAGCCCCCCTTCCCCCATGAGCCACCCCGCTCGCGCCAGGGCCGGGCACCCCCTGGCCCCTGGCATGATTGTCCTCCGGTTCTGCTGCTGCTTTTTTTTTCTTTCTTTCTTTCTTGCTTTTTTTTTTTTTTTCCTGCAAACTTTGCCCGCGCCCCCGCGGCCCGGCACTCACCCGCCGCTGCGACCTGCCGGGTGGGCTCCGGGGCGCCCGGCTCGGCCCGGCGCCTTTGTATCCGCAGCGCTGCTCCGGGTCGCTCGGAACTCGCGCTCCCGGACGGGCAGCGCCGGCGACGGCGGGGGGTCGAGGGGGGCTCCCGGGTCCGCTCACCCCCTGCTCAGTCCCTGACGGTGGCCTCTTTCCCCCTCGAGGCCCCGGGGGCAGGGGGCCGGGGGGGATGCAGGGTGCTCAGGCTCCCATGGCGGGACCGAGGACCGGGGAATCAGGGATCGGGAATCGGATCTGGAGCCGGCGGCCAGGGGGAGGGGGAGGGGAGGGGACGGGAGCAGGGGTGGGGGGTGCAGGGGGCGGGGGAGCGCGCGCTCCCGGGTGCCGCCTCCCGGCTGTTCCCTCCGCCGCCGCCCCTCCTGCCACTGCGTCCATTGTCTGCGGCCGGGCTCTTCCCGGAGTCGCCACTCCCCCAGCCCTCCGCCTTCGGGTGCCCGGCGGCCCTCCCWGACCCTGGGAACCCTCGGCTGGCCGCGACCCGGGCCCCGATCGGTGGGCAGGGGGCTTCCTCCGTTCCTAGCCTTGCCCCGGCACGCAGCCGCTCTGGGCGCTGTCTTCCTGGGTCTCCTTGTCGGGAAAGGGAGACCCCCGGACCCCCGGGGGCTGGCCATCTTCTCTTTAGGGCCACAAACCTGGCTCCACGGAAGCCGGTGGAATGTGAGACGTGGGAAGATTGATTTTTTTTTTTTTTAGACCCCCCTAGAGCTGCGAGAAGGGAGGGTCATCCCTGACTTTAATTAGTGGCAAGAGACGTCCCTCTTCCCATTGATACAGGGGATTTCCCTGACACCMTCCCTACCTAAAGCCCCCCTCCTTCCAAAAATAATTTAATTACTCGGCGTTCTAACTGTGAGCAGCGACCTCCCAGTCCGTCTGGGACGCTCTCTCATTAACACTTTTTCCTCCCCTCTGGTTTGGTGTTGAGATTAATTACAAAAGGAACCCTGCCCTGGGGGAGCGGGGGAAGGGGAGAGCTGAGGAGCCTGAAAGATTGGTGGTGAAGGGAGAGGGGCTGTTCTCCCAGGAAACCTTCTAGAGTGAAAAAAAATGCCTTGGCCTGTTGGATGCCTAACCCCCAAGCAGACAGGGCCTTCTCCACCCTGAGTTTCAGATACTTTGGAATTGAGGGTCCTACGCGGAAATGGTAGATGATCACAAAATATCCCATACATAAAGAGTATTTCCAACTCCTCACACACCAAGAATCCAGTTAGGGTCCATAAAGTGGGCAATAGCTCTGAACCCACCAAGAGCGACTTCTACAATACAGGCATGTGGGAAGTCCCCGTTCCCCTCTGATGAGTGAAAGCAGAAATATTATTTTATTATTACTAGGATTATTGCCGTGTAACCTGCCACTTACCTAGAATAGTGGCACTTCAAAAGCATCTCCACACACTTCCCAAGCAGGGCAAGGCCCTCTCAACAAGCTCTTCCAGCTTTCAATACCTACCATTCCTACCCTGTGTTTAAGAAATCCCAGGGAAGGAGATTCCCAGTCCCTGTTCCTCCGTTGTTTGGGAAATTTAGGTCTTCCCTAACCAAGACTCAATTTCATCTTTTTTGGTTATATATTCTAAACTTGTCCCAATATGAGGACAGACCATCTTTGTCTGCACTTTGAGCAGTCATGCTCAAAGAAGCACTTCTTATTATCTCCTTTGTTCAAACTCTTCGTCCACTCTTCACACGTTATTGGTCAGCCAATGACTTAGCACCAAGGCTGCATGAAATACACAGAATGATCATTTCCGTTACCCAGGTCCCTGCATGCATAAGGCATAAATTCTATGGGCCATTCACCTGTGCCCATCATGTGTCCCGCAACGGGCTGTATTCAGAGTGCATACCACAACCAGGTATACATAGGACATAAGGCAGGAACATTGGGGAAAAGTAAAGGGACACAGGAGAGTGTCCTCAGCCCTTCCCACAGCACGCCTGCAGTGCTGGGCAATAAATGTGTAATTCCACACAGTCTTGGGGCTGTGGTGGTGCCATATGACTCTCTAGTAGATTTAGTGAGTGTGAATAGTATTCGCATACTGATAGCCTATTTCTTTCTTTCTTTTTTTTTTTCTTTTTTTTCTTTTTTTTCAGAGCTGAGGACCGAACTCAGGGCCTTGTACGTGCTAGGCAAGCGCTCTGCCACTGAGCTAAATCCCCTGGAAGCCTATTTCAAAGACATCAGAAGGGCCCACAGATTTTGAAAAGGTCTTCTAATATCAGAACTAGAGATAATTCTGTAGACCACCCCCAAACTTGATGGTGGGCATCTTGACTCAGGATGTCAAGAGATGAGACTTCAGGATTAACAGATATCAGGCATCAGACTGGAGAGCTTGGTCTTTTCCCGTCTCTTTTCTGAGAGTAAGATTGGAGGGCTCTTAGTTACATCTCTGCAGTGAGAACGTTGGATCACAGAGAATATGTCCGACATTGAGTCTAATGGTTGTAGTGCGTCTTACGCAGCAATTCTTGGTTGGAACTACCCTCCACCCTCATCCTTAGGATGGAAACCTATCTAGATTTTACACATCCCCAATTCACAGAATGAGGAAACAAAAGTCACAAAGAGAAAGCCCATGTGCCCTGGGGTCCAAGTGACCTAGTTTAATCCTTTAGGAAGGAAGGGAACACTGAGGGAGGTGACATCCAACCAAGATTTTCCCGAGAAGACCAAGCCACTAATAACAGAGGAAGGTCAGAAACCCAGTGAAATAGATTGGACTTGGAATTCATAACCCTTAGCCTTGAAGGTATAGGAAAATTTCTTTCTGTCTTTGAACCTTCATTTCATTTATATAAAAGGTATCAAGAGGAACCTCCTCTAGGTACCCATAGTGCCCCAGTCAATTCTCAGTCAAGGTCCCCCTCCCTATTATGTACCTTAGGGGATTCCTAGTTTTTTCAGGAGTCTTGCTCAGGGAAGAATTCTCTTAGCCAAAAGCCAGGACCCTCTGTTGAGAGCCGAGTCGGAATGGCTCCTGGCATTTTGCCAGAAGTAATGGTTGAGAGGCGAGCCATTAAGATGATGCTGGATTGATTCAATTGTATATTAGACCTTTACACCAGTAATAAGGTGGCTCTTGCTGCCTCCAGCACCTGCCCGTTACTTTGGAGTTCCCGTTGAGTTCTCGTTGGTTCCGAGAGTGAATKCGCACACAGCCCAGTGGAGGGAGTTCTGTTGGGTGTGTGGTGTTCCTGGGGGCCACGTGGGTGGCGTTCGGGAGAGTTCCCGGGGAGTGTGCGTGGAGTGCTGGTGGAGTTCTGTAATAAAGAGTGGCTGTTTTGAACCTACAAGTGCTTCGTGGCGGCTCGGTTATTTGTAACCAGCCAGACTGCAGCAACCCTCAGTTAAAACTCTTTCTACTCCTAAACTAGCTCATGGGCCTAAGGCAGCAGGAATGGGACCAGCAGATCAGAGGCCATTAAAAAATATATATATCCCAGGCTACAGAGAAATGCCTGCTTCCTATATAGATAATGCTGTTCCTGGAGATCTGTCCCAGTCCACAGTGGCACAGATGGACTCTCCGACTCTGAGAAAGGGAATCCATAGTATATAGAAACTTTAAAAAGTATTTTGGTGTGAGTGATTAGCAAGTTCAGTCTCCTCCCAGGTGCAAATGACCGCAGCCCATGTGCCAGGCCACACCCACCATCTTCTTGCAGCCCTGTGGATGAACTGGGGGGCACACTTCCATCCCCCATGATAATCAGAGCTCTTTCCTCAGAATCCACCTTACTAGAAGGACCATWCTCAAGGCTTATGACAGTATTTCCAGACCCAGTCTAGACTGTTCCCTTGCTGGGGTGTTGTTGKTGGTTTGTTTTTTCTTTTTATAAATTAAATATGTGGTTTTTTAAAATAGAATTATACCCCCAAAACCGTTAAAATACAAAATAACTGGTGAGAGATGGATTCATTTTTGGTGTGATTTCTAAATMAWTTTTTTTTATTATTTTTATTCTAATTCTACATATGAGAGCAGAATGCATTATAATTTATATTATACATATAGAGCACAATTTTTCATATCTCTGGTTGTATACAAAGTAGAGTCACATTGGTTTTTTTTTTTCTTTTTTAGTGAAAAAGGAAGAAAAGTGTTAAGTAAACAAAAATTATTAACTGGTCAAGACCTCTGCTCTGTTGTAGAGATGTTGTAAAGTGCCTCTCTATCACACAAGATCATTTTGTTGCTGTTGTTTTTTGTTTTTTTCCTGGATGCTGGGGATTGAACCCAGGGGCGCTTTACCACTGATTTGTATCCCGCCCAGGATCCTGATCTCTTTGCGAATAAGAACTGAGCCTCATTCATTTCAGTATCTTTGACACATGAAAGTCACTAAGTTGGTTAGTTCCCTTCACTTCTAACTTCTTCCTCTTTCTCCTCCTGGATCCCAAGTCTTTACTACTCTCTCTCCATCCAACCTTCGTTAAGTGAGTGTCCTTCAGTCCAATTACGTTATCACCAATCTGAAAACTTACCTACAAATTAAACCAGTGATCCCCAACCTAGATTGCACATTCTAATCCTTGAGAAGCTTGGAAAACCCACCCGYGCCCCAGACCCATCCCAAACTAATTAAACCGGAAACTTCCTAGGTGTCTCCCGACGATTGGCTTATTTTTAAATTTTTCTTAGTGATTCTTAGGTTAAAATTTCTGATTTCCTTCTGCCTTTCTGGGAAAAAATAAATGTCTCCCTCTTTTCCCTTGCCTAACACTAATCCTTCCAGGTGGGCATCTGATCTGTCCTCTCTCACTTCCACCCATCATCCCACCTTCTGTCTCTAACACTGACTGACCCCTTGGCTCAGCCCTTGCCCAGTGCACATTCGGAAATCAAATCTCTCTCTCTTTTGGGCAGCCTCCTCTTGCTTCAACTCTTTTCTGTTTTTCTTTTTATCCCACCTTCTCTCTCTCTCTCTCTCTCTCTCTCTCTCTCTCTCTCTCTCACAGTGGATGGAATCCAAGAATGCTCTACCACTGAGCTACTGTTGTTTTGGGGTTTTTGGGGGGTTTTGTTTTTGAGA